CAAAAATCCAAGGATTCTCAAGTCTTGAATATAAGATGACATAGTATTTGCATATAATCTATACATATCCTCCCATACACTCTAAAGCAATGTCTAGATTACTTATAATACCTAAAAAAATGTAAATGCTATATACTTAGTAGTTATACTGTATTGTTTAGGAATGGAAAAAAAGGATTGCATACAGTTAGAGATTTTTTTCAAATTCTTTTGATCTGTAGTTGCGTAAACCCACAGATGAAGAACCTGAGGATACACAGCTGATTGCATCCAACTGCAAACTAAGAAACATATTTGTTTGAAAGCCAGACACCATTGATTTCTCTCTGAATTCCTCCTGCCTACCAGACAGCTCAGAGATGGTTTGCTAGATGTTTAAAAAAAAAGTTAGATGTGATATTATTTATTTCATGTCTTAGTTCCTTTTCTTGTTGCTGAGATAAAATACTCGACACCCAAAGTTAAAGGAGTAAAGGTTTATTTAGCTCAGTTTGTAGAGGTTTCAGGTCATAGCTGCCTGGTTCCAAGGCAGTGAGACCTCACAGAGGAGAAACAGTGCATGGCAGGCAGAAGGCAGCAAAGCAGATAGGAAGTAGTCAGCAAGAGGCAAGCAGCAAAAGCAGACCTCTTTCAGACCCTTATAGTCTGTCCAGGCTACCCACCCTTAGGTTGCACAAATACCCAGGGGGCACCCTTAATCCTAGCATCATACAGTGAATCAATCCTAGCATCATATCCTTAATCCCAGCATCACACACTCCAGATCCAGACACCTCTGAAATGCCCCACCTATGACCACATGCGGCTTTGAGGGGACAGCTAGATATAAGCCATAACATTTTTTAAGTATGGAAAATGTGTTTTTAACTCAACATACTCATAAAATATCAGGTGTTGGTAGACATTAGCTTGTATTAAAAACCCAGGAAAACTGATGTCATGATGCATCTTGACTTTCTCAGTTGTGGTCAAACATTTACTTAATTATGATAAAAGAAACAAGAAGAACAGAAAATATAAATGAGAACTGTTTGGCTGCACCAAAGGAGACTCACCAAACAACTGACCTTTTATGCCAATATTTTTATATAAAGCACAACTTGAAGGAATACTATTTCTATTTATTGTATTTTTGGTTTTTCTTCCCAGGAGCCCAGGCCCTTACCATCTCTCTCCTGAAGTATAATACAACTGTCCCCTAACTCTAGCCCCATTTTCCCCAGATTTTAGCAGCTATTTATAACATGAACTCAGAGCCTCAACTATGGTGCTGAGCAGACTGCTTCACTCACTGGTTTTCAGACAGACTCCCTTGTGGAGGCTAAATGTCAGCTTTTACCCCTTATTCCCCTAATGAGGGCCACTGCATGAAAGCTCTGGTTTCCAAGGACATGTTCTACATTGGAGTTTTATGTAAATTCATGTACACATACATACTCTCCACATCTGTGCATATACTTATACGCACACTGGTACACACCATTAGCCTGACACAAACACATTCCTACAGCCTGAAGTCACCTCCTTCTCTGGCACAAAATTCCACTTTTATCTCTACATTCAGCTCAAAGTCACTTCTAGATGAAGATCTCTCCAAATTCTCAAGACAAAAACAGTAGGAAACAAATGATGAAAATATGCACCAAATTAAGATATGATATGTACATCCACCAACTCCCTCAGACCAATGTATTCATTATGTATCACAAACATGTATTAATAATAATAATAATAAAAAGATACATTAGTCTCCTCTAGAGGCTCAGGCCAAAGATATCTGATTATCAAGTCTTCTGTTCATTTCCTCCAGGCTCACGCTTGTACTAAGATATCTCTCAGTACAAACTAAGTGTTGGCTAAAATCTGGCAAAGTTATGATAGGAGAGAAACAGCATAATGAACACAATCACCCTTTCAAGGGGTTCTAAAAGGGAAAAGTCCCAGACTGGATGCCAGCCTTGGTGGGGAAGGGAGGGATACCAGATGTGTACCCCAAGACTCACTTAGGAGAATAGGTAGATGCCCAAGTGAGTGAGAGAAGGCACAAGTATTTAAGCAGGCAGAATAGGGGATCCCAAAGGTAAACTGGGATACAGGTGGCATCGAGGCAGGGGAAGGAAGATCCACTGACTAAAAAGTTCTTACTCCACACCACAGTAACCTCAATTCAGGCCTGAAGTTAAAATCAAACTCAGGGCCTCTCACCAGACAGTATTCACCAGACCTGACAGTCTCATTCATCCAATACTCTAAGAACTGACGATGACAGCAAGTTGGGCTGGCTGGAGGCTAAGTGGGGTGCCAGAAGTGGGTTTTCCTGGATCCATGGGTAGAGACAGAGGGAAGGCTCTGGGATGTTAAGGGCTAGAGTGAAGTATTCTCAGCCTTCCGAAAGCTGTCTTGGCTGCAAAAAGTGTCTCCTGACCACCTGATGGGTGTAGGGTATTGGCTCAGGACCAGGAGGTGGCCATGCACAGAAGGCAGAGACAGGGCAACTGGAGTTTGCATCCAAAGGAGCTCTGGCTTGAAAACCCACAGGGAAGGTTAAGGAGGGAGAAGCCACAGTAGTGCCAGGATCAGCAGCCAAAGATCTCCCAGAAACTTGTTAGAATGCGAATTCTCAGTGCCCACCCCACCCGCCTTGTTGGATCAGATACCACAGAGATGGCACATCTTGATCTGAGTTTTAACCAGATTTCCAGGTACACTGAAGTATGAACAACCACTGTATTGGTCTTACAGACCCTGCCTTGCTACCTTCCTCCCTCCCTAGCTGCCTCCTCCTCCCTAGCTGCCTCCTTTCTTCTTTGATAGAAAATCATCTGGTAACTGCAATCCCTGTCTCTGCAGACAGACAACTTCTTAAAAGATCAAAGAGCACAAAGTCACAATGTAGGAGGTGAAAAGCAGCCCTCCTGAGAGATGATTTCTAAAAAGCCACGTGTGATCATGTCACTCCAACAGGTAAATCCATTCACTGGTCCCCCACTGTGCTCAGCTGACAAGGTCCTCCCAGACCTTACTGTCCAGCTAGGGTCCTGTCCAACTCTAACTTCTCAATTCCAACCACAGGGGACTTCCCTGCAGTTCCCTAAAGCACCAACCAGGCTCTCTTCTCCAGCCACCTGTGTTTACCACCCCTTCCACCTTGATAATGGGTACCCCCCGCCTTAACACTAGGCCCCATCACAGCACTCATCATAGCAGCTGGGTAACAGCATTCATTGCTGACATTAACCCGCAAAGGGTCCTGCTCTGGCACCTGGCAAGGGAGGGAGAGCACTGAGAAGACCCACAAGATCTATCTGGTGATGGAATTAAGCCAAGACTTAAATACACTTGACACTCCAGCTACAAAACATATCCCTAAGCATCTGAAAGTCTTAATTGTAATTGGGAAAAAAATGTTCACTAAAGTTTTGAAAGCCACAAAAGACTTTTTAAAAGGGAGCAAGCAGAACCATGAGTAGCAGGAGAGAAAAGCCGATCTGCTGCCCTGAGGGATGGTTGTGGGTAACAATGGGGATGCAGGCAGTCCAGCTGTTAATCTCTCCAGAGCTCTCAGGCTTGCCAAACTCAAAAATTCCAGGCTCTCCAGTCATGTGTGGGCCATGCATAAGACTGCCAGGAGCCTCACAGATCAACTACAAGTCCACAGGCCCAGTGGCTCCCAGCTGTCATCCCAGTGTAGCATCCTGGGTGCTTGGGAAGCCCAGCATCCAAGCTTCAGCGGTGTTCTCCGGACTGCCCCCATACCACCACCTAGGGCAGACCAAGCAGGGGAGAGGATAGATACTCCAGGACATCTGGGAGAAGGGCCAGGCAGAAAAATTAAAGGAGAGCTTCCTCTTACTTCTCCCTCCAGAAAAACAAGAACTTTCCAAGCACCAGGTGGCAGGTAGGAGCCTGTCTCTTCTGTTTGGACATCTAACAGGACTCTTTATCAGTCTGCCCCAACTCAGGCCCAAGGAAAAAGTTTACCTTTGGGAGAAGAATGCAGGGAAGAACAAGAGAGCAGAAGCCTGACAGCCAGACAACCCTGTCCTAAGGAGCAAGCTCTCCCACTGGGCCTCAGATTTAATCAAAACACTGCCTTCCACCAGAAGTAGACAGAACAAGTATTATTTTATGGGGGAAGGGAGCATGTCTCTGGAGTGTGATGGGGAGCCCTGGCCGGGTCTGGCTGTAATTAACTAGCGTGCTTCAAAGGGCAGGGAGTGGGGGGATCAAGATGGCCTGATAAATTAAGAAGGGGGTTATCATAAAGTCTCCCTGTCCGAGACAGCAGGGCCGACCGGAGGCTGGAGACCCTGGGTCTCCTTTCAGCTGGCCTGACAGGCGGACCCCCTGCAGCGCCAGGCAGGAGAAACAGCACGGATCCGTGCGGACCGCTCTAGGGGGTAGAGCATTTCAACCCGAAAAGCACGCGTTGGCGGGGGGGTTCCCGGTGCCGCTCTGGTACAAAAGGCTGCCGAGCTGGGAAACCTGGCAGGGAGGGTGGAGCATTCAGAAGGATATACATGTACTCATTCTGAGAGCTGCAGTTTGGAACCGAAACCAAGAATGCTCGAGCCTCTTTCCAGCTCTAGACCTCAGTTCCTAGCCACATCCAGAGTGTGCGTGTGTGTGTGTGTGTGTGTGTGTGTGTGTGTACGGCGGAGGGACGCCGGGAGAGGCCAGGGTAAATGTTCTTTCAAGCAAGCGACAGCCCCGACTCTCCCACTTTACTCGGAGCCGGAAGGACTGGCTGGATCTCTCTTCCTTGGGCAAGGTTGGGCGGAGCGCTCTCGCTCCAGCACAGAGGGGGCGTTTAGGGAGCAACAGCAAAAGGGATGGTATCAGACCAACCATCTGGGGCAGTGCATGTGGAAGGGGTCAAACTGTGGGAGCCTGATCGCCAGGCTAAAGTTGATGTAAGGGCTGGAAACCCGAATGGTGCCTCGGTTTCCCCAAGCCCACAAAGGTCCTGGAACCTCGGGGGAGGATCAGGAGCAGCTTACCTTGTCCTTCTTGCCGGCCCCGCTCTCCTCCGCGGCCGAGGTGGCACACTTGTTGAGCAGTTTCTTGCTTCCGCTGGCTGTCGGGCTCCAGGTGCGGCCACCCGAACAGGACGCCCCTGGAGGGTCCCCGGTCCCGCCCGCGGCGGCGCTCTCCACTTTGATGAGTCGGTGCTTGGGAGAGATGTAGCGCACCTCGGCCG